GAAATGGAAAAGAAATTTTCTTCTACCAAAATTTCTTAAATCAGTTTGCAGCTCTCAAAGAAAAAAATGTTCGTATATTCATTTCCTCTTGAAAACTTACAGCAAAAGCAAAGCGCTTTTTCAAGAAACAGAAATTATATAAATATTTCTTATAATTTCCTTGAGAGCTGGATTCTTAGCCTTAAGATACAGTTTGCATTTGGGGTCATTAGCTTTAGGGGGGGTTTGAACCCCAAAACCCACCCCTTGTGTGCGCTAATGTCCTAGAGTGATGTCAATTCGTCCCGAAGGCTGATAGGTCCGTTTGCACTAGGTCCGTCCATTGTGGACGCCCTTTGTTCTTGATGAAGTTGTTGTTGAGTTGAAGGATCTTTACACTGGAGCATCCCAAACCTACCGCGCAACCTATGAATGAAAATTAACTTTCAATTAGGGATGTTCAAAAAATATCGGTGTTTCTAAAAACGTTTTGTTTTCAGTTTGGTTAGTCGTCTTTTTCAATCTTTTTATAATTTAGGTGTTAATCGTTTGTTATTTTAAACCGAATAGTGAGAATTCGGTTTTTATATTCACCAGCAGTATAAGACAACTAGTGAACGTGCATGGCATTAAGACGTCAAAATTTAATTTAGCTTTTAAAACAGGTGGAAACCCTAATTAAAAACCTTAATAAATATTCCAAATGTGCCATCTTATTCCTCCCAACCATTTCTGAATGAAAAGAGGTGAGGTTTCCATCCCATCAAATTTCAAATCAGCCTGTATCGTTGATTTTTTGAAATTCGAAATGACGATGCAGATCTGATGACCTTCACATAGTGTTAACCTAGTTTTTCTAGACCTTGATGACGGTTTCTGGCTCTATCCCGCGAAGAGCTTGCTTGATATTCACCTTGAGGGCCTGAACCGTTCATGGATTCTTCGCATAACGTCGGTCCTTCACGGAACACCAAAAAAGTCTAGCAGCGTCAAATCGCAGCTCCGAGGTGGCCAATTGACATCGCCGAGTCGGCTGATAACACGATTACCGAACTAAGCGCACAAATTTTGTATCACGCTTCTGTAGCGCTGACCAAAATGACGCTTCCAGTAAAAAAAAAAATTAATTAACCAATTATGCTACCGCTCCAAAATCTTAACCAAACTGTCCGTGTCGGAGGATGCATTGGCTTCTCGACGATCATGTGTGGGTCTCCCGATCTGCAGATGCGTCCGATTTGCTTGTTAACACAGCCACCAGGAGGCTTCGTTTGAAAAGATGATTTTCCAAGCAATATCGTGAAAGCCTGGTTGACACTAATCTCCGGTTAAACATTGTTAATGACGTATTCGATGCCATGCATATAACAGGGTGTTAACCAGACTTTGAGAAAGTATTTCTTATTGCCTTTTTTCTCATATTTAACAGGAAATTTTAATTTTCACATTCATTTAAGCTTACTTCTGATTAATTTTGGAAAAATAAATAAAACTACTGAAGTCAAACAAAAATTTGAAACTCCCTCAATAACGGTAATGACTGAAAGTAAAACTGAGGTATCTTAAATCAGACCACCGAATTAGCGGAAAATATGAAAGTTCGTATATTTATTAGCCAATGTACATATATACATATATGTATGAGTACGCACGCATAACTTCAAAATTGCCACCAAATTTGGTCAGTGCTACACTTGCCTATCGATCCCCAAAGCTACACATCTGAAAATAAGTATAACAAGTGCGCAAGCAGAGATTACTTGATTCGCCTCAACCACGACCACATCCACAATCATTTGGCCCAAATCCAAGTGAAGTTCACTCTTTGGGTCATATCGACCGCAGGCAGCTTCCACAATATTGTGGTACATTGATTTAATTGCTCGCCATTTCCTGGTTTCCCTTTTTTCAATGTAGAGCTCTGCTATGATGGCTACGTCAATATGTATGTAGATATGTATTTTTTTGTTTCGGCGATGATTTTGATGTGCGTCGTGGTGCTAAAACCCAACTCTTTCATTCATTCAAAAATTTCGGTCGTTTTTTTTTTACAAAAAAATGATGGATTTACCCATTTACAACCAAGTCAATGGCGGCAATGACAACTAAAACAACAGCTAAGCATTCTCAACTAAGTACATTAATTCATTCATTTGTACATTAGGGTGGTCCAAAAGTGCATGTGAAAAAGTAAATTCGGAATTTTTATGCTCTCACCTCATAGGATTGTTCTACACCGACAAAAATATACCCTTATTTTTTTTTAATTTGACAACAAAAATATTTAGAGGTCGCTTAAAGCGCTCAAAGTTTTCCATGTATTTTATATGGGGAAAAACATTTTCGTAGAAATGGTATAGAATTCTTAAAAATCAATATTTTTCGATCGGTAAAACACTGTTCCTCTTCAGGAGATTCCCAGTAATATAACCCAATTACCTCTAAACGACCTCTAAATATTTTTTGATTTCATAATAAAAAAAGGAGTATATTTTTTCGATATAGAACAATTCTAGGGGGTGAGAGCATTAAAATTTCGACTTTATTTGTTTTGGGCCACCCTAATGTACATACATACATAGTTATGTTTACGCTATCACTTTGTTGTTGTTGCAATCAGCCACTCCTCTGGCTGGCAGCGGTCATCGGCGGCAATCACTTTGTATGTATGATTTGCTTGTCGGTTCATTGATGGCAATTATTTTATCTTTAGTGCGCCAAGAAGAATATTTTTAATTTGTATGTAATTTCTTGTTAATATGCGAGTTGGCAGATGTGGATAATTTGCTGTGCAGTAGTCAGTCAAGGCGTCTAGGTAGGACATTCTCTCGGAAATTTGGCGCGCACCAAGCCCATGTGAGCGTTTTTTCGCATGGATCAAATTTGGATTGCAAAGTTGGACGAGCCTTCTGGTAAAATCTCTCCATCGATAGATTGGCTACAGCAGTAGTACAACTGCTGATATCTCTTGTGATTTCAGTATCGACATTTTTAAAACTTGCTTAAAGGCTGGTCCTCTTCATCTTAAGGCTTCCCTCTGCTTCAATATGTTTTGTAGTCTGCTTGCAAATCATTTCAAGACCTTTAGGATGGCTATGCAAGAAATGATACCAAATCAAGATTAAGCGTGGCATACAGTTCAATTAAAGTATGTTTACATATATGTACATGAATATAATCTCAAACAAAGCTCGTTTGCAAATCATAGGAGGGATTTTATGTGGCTAATCTCTTTTTATTTACATCCATTTCTTTATTTGGGTTACATCCAAGGGCTCTGTGAACGTTTTCATGAAAAGTTGCAGGGCCAACCTGACCACGAGTAGATCGAAAACTGTCAAACAAACCAAGTCAGAACCATCAATAACATAGATACACAAAAATAGTGTCGCGGTTCGGGGATCAGATTATCTTTGTCTTTTGTATTTTAGTGCGCTGAGCACGATTCTGAAGTCTCCTTTGCTTCATCATGTCCGGATTCCTTCTTTACTTAAAAAAATAAGGCAGATATTATTTGACAGATATAAATTTTCCCTTTCTCTCTCTTATCTCTTCTTTCATTTACCCAAGTCATCACAAGAGCACTTACAACCACTTCGATGGCAAAGCTCTATGGCCAGAAATATAATTTTTAATACTCCTCCTTAGGCCTTAAGATCACAATAGTAAAGCGGTATAACGTCTACACTTTCTGAACGAATAGATCAGAGTATTCCTGCTCGAACGCTTAACTCTATGTCTAACGTTGTACCGGGGACGTTGCAGGCAAGCCTGCAGTAATCCGCTTAGCCATCAGGCTAAGAAAAACTCCTCGGAAATATTTAGAAACTCGAACTTTTTACCTGAAGAAACGGGGTGTTGCAAGACTATTCCCAATTGGATCCTACTCTACACATGGGAGAGTGATAGACCTTGAAACAAGGATTTAGTTATCATTTTCACCGAGGTTCCTCTCAGGAACTGCCCGTAAATATCATGTTTAAGCTATCGCATCTATGCGACGTATTGCAGGTAGTGGTGGACGCTATAAGGGAGGCAATGGTCTGCCTACTAAGCGTACGCCCTTTTCTAAATTTTCTCTGACAGCCAAGCAGAAATTAAGACTCTAGAACCGCTAATGGTAACCGAAAGTCGATGGGGAAGGCTTAAGGTCACCAAGGACTGCACCCAAATTGGACTTACTTGGGTTCAAGGACTCAGTGACATTGCAGGAAACTGTATGATTGATGAGTTGCCCATTTTTGGATGAGCCCACAGTCGTATCAAAGAACGTTAGGCCAAAACCCCAACATGCACTGTTGCAATGTCCTTCTGGCCGCGGAGGTGGACCGTAGGCGGACAAATGAGCTACTGTAACTGGCCAACCGGCGCTTAGTAAGCGCAAGTTCTTGGTTCTGATAGGAGTGATGAGTGGTGCAATGACCTCTGCTGATTTGCTTTAGCAATACCAAAGTTTAAGTATTTCGGCTCTTTGATATTTCATCAACACTCCGGAGGAACTTTATGAAGCCGAAATCCAATGCAAATTCGTGTATTCAACTTTAACTACATATCGTCACCTGAAATGCAAAAAGACGTAACAACATCGTAACTGAAATGGAAAAAGTCGTGACTAATATTTTTTATTTTATTTTTTTTTCAGTTGTAATTCGACGAAATCCATCATATCAATCAAGCCCTTAATTTTGAATTTTTCATAAGTTACGACTTTTTGTATTTCAGCGACGATGTTTGTTACGTCTTTTTGCATTTCAGGTGACGATATGTACATATGTATGTATGTCTAAAATCATTTAAATCATTTAAACATAAATAAAATGGTCTTAAAACCCTCATCAATCTACTCAAAAATGTCTCTTCGGTGCACAGTTTCCTCTTTGCCGTCCGCAACCAAATTTGAGTAATTAATTTCATCACGCTCATTGCCTTTTTATTACTTATTCACAATTTTATTAAAAAAAATAATTTCTAAATAAAATATTTTATCCATTCTTTCATATGAATATTTTTTTCTCTTGCAGGCCTTAAATGGATTTCTAATGATACTGACATGCGAAGGCGAGGTCTTCTTTGCAACGCACAGCATCGAGAGCTATTTGGGTTTTCATCAGGTGAGTAGCCACAAGCGAAGCGCACACACAGACGCAAAGCAAGTTACCTGAGGATATTTGAACAAAGCAAAACAAATATTTAGTTCTAGCTACTGCGGTTACTGGTTACAAACACACGATATTTATTTATTATACAAACTCCTTATATTTTATCTCGCCTGCGACTGATTGAATCTTTTTTTTTTTGTATCAATTAAATTGATATTTTGTATTTCTTTCAGTATTTGATTGACTAGTTTTTTTTTAAGTTTGTGGCATTTTTGTGAATGAAATCTATAGTTTTGTTGTAGCTGCACCCCATTTCTACGCACGCAAACGAACTCTTTCATATATCTGAGATTATATATACCTGTCCATATAATTAACTTTTTCCTCTTTTCAAAATCTCTAATTGCTGGTGATTATCAAATGCGCTACCGTCTTTGATTTGCGGTTAATTACACTTTGAATGCCATGAGTTTTTTCTATTGTTTTTTTGGTTTTTTTTGGATTCTGAATGGAATTTACATTTTTCGAAACAGAAGAAATTAATAAACCAAATATAAAAATGTGTTCATTTTACAAATGACACGTAAAAGCTATGCATTTGTCCATACATGCTACCATACCTGTGCCACATATTTACATACATATTTATGCCTTTAAACAATGCAGAGTTGTATGTAACCAGGAAGTTATTTCGCTGGGAGCTGAGCAACTTTTCAATGGAGTATGCATTGTCTATACACATGTAAAAAGTGTAAATGTTATTTAAAACCACGATTGTTACTGTCAATAGTCAATCATCCTTCAAAATTTTTATATACGTAAAACACATCCGCGATCCACTGCAGTTCTATATAATAAAATTCTAGCACAAACCAAAAGCAAAACCACAAACTTTAGGTTGACATATGGGGGACCAGGGTTAACTTAAGGTCAAAAATTTATAACTTCTTTTCTAATTAGAGTATAGAGAATAAAGTCCGCCTGTTCAAAATTTTGAAAGCAAAAAGCTGAAAATTGAACTTTTGGCCGCAGAGAGTGCCTATTTCAGCCAAAGTGCATGGGATGGAATGATCTTCCTCCCTCTATTGTGATTCATCGTAGTAGACCATAAGTGACAAGATCTTCGATGTTTAAAACTAGGAGGCAGGTTTGAAGCCATCATCACAAAACTAATAAAGAGCGCATTCTACACTAAATGGTATAGTCGAAACGGGTCAAACGGCAGGGAGAAAAGATACACTTTCAAAAAACAGGTCAAATATCTGGGAGTTATCCTCGATGACAAGCTCTAATGGAACCCTATATTAGATAAAGCTATTAAAAAGCTAAAGAATCTGACCTAAATTGGCTAGATAGTTACTTGAACAATGAGAGGAAGGACTTTGAATTCGTTTACTTATTTCTTACGAGACATAATTTTAGCCACAATTTCAACATCCAACTGATATACTGATGGTTCTAAGACTGACCGTAGTGTCGGAGCAAGGGTCTTTGGTATACAATAATCTAATGTAATCTTCTTATTCGACACAACAATGAAAAGACATTTAAGCAATTGCTCTTTGCTTGGTTGTGTTGATGCCAGATTCCAGGTAGATAAAATCCTTCACTTTTTCGGAATTGTAGCTGCCAACAGTGACGTATATATCAATAAGCGAAGACTTTCGTGTGTTTCAAAGAGGTACTTCGTCTTGTCGTCGTCCACCGCAAGATTAATCTGGTTTCCCTCGTTTTCATAACTGTTATCATATTATTCACATATGCCAGCAGAAATGGGATTTTTTTTAATTTCTTCATTCCTTGACAAAAGTACTACATGGAAAATTTCATTAAAATTGGATCTCCATTCGTAATGTTTCGAAGCTTGGACTTTCTGCTCGCACTTTCATTTTATAAAACCGATTTGAGGCAATCTACGAAATGGTGGCGTGTGTCGATTTTGCTTATCTTATTGCTTTTTCAAGGTTTGACGAAGTATGAAAAACTGGTCGATGTTGGAATTTTCACGGCTGAAACCATACTAATGCTGACTGAAACAGCTAATAGAAAAAAGTTAATTAAAAGCTTGTAAAATATCGCTTTTATTTTACCCTACGAATCTCCTAAATGCATTTCAACCGCTATTTTACATTAAGACATTTTATGACTTTAAGACAGTATGACGCTCATGACGTCTTATAAGCCCCCTAATTGAATTTCAGACATGGATTTCCTAACATTACCCAAATTGTTTGAACGGGGACCAAATAGTCGGGATTGAGAATAGGAGAGCATTACAATAAGCATTACCATTTTCATTACCATAACCATTGTAGTGCTCTACCACTGCCGTTGTTATTGTATTCCATTGTCAATGTCATTATCATTACCATAGCCATTACCATCAACAATACTATTACCTTTACCAGTACCATTTACATTACTATTACCAGTACCACTGATAATGGTATTATTAACATAAGCATTACCACAACTGTTATGACTAACACTACCAATAACATTAGCATTCCTTAAACCATTACAACTACCGTCACCATTATCACAGACGGCCCACGGCGGCCTAAGTGTGCTTCCTAACCTACCATTCCCATTGTCGTTACCAGAACCCTTACCATTACAATTACAATTACCATTACCAATGCCACTATTATTACCACTGCTATTTCCATTAACATTTCCATTACAATTAAAATTAGCATTTCAATCACCAAAGTCATTCCCTTTATCACCACCATTACCATTTCCATTACCACTACCATTTCCATTAATATTAAAATACCATTGCCATTATTATTACCATTAGCATTATCAATACCATTACCGTTACCATTGCAATTATCATTATTAACATTACCGTTACCTGTGTCTGTATATATGTACGTACGAATACTACCACATATGTATGTATATGTATGTACACACGTGTGTAGTAAATGTTTAATTGAATTTATCCGTTAATTTTTTCGTTCAAAAAACAGCTGTGCATCAGTTTTAACAAAAACATTATTACTTACATACCTACATTCATACGTACTTACATGCTTTTTGCACATGTATTTAGTTTGCTATCCAATGCAGCTGATCGCTTGCACAATATCCCGCGTTGAAGTCTTAATTTTTAATTGAGATGCCAAAGTGGGCGGTACAAATGTCGATTTACACATTTACAACTAAATTAAAAATTGCTCAACTGTTCGCACATAAATGCATTGCTCAGCTATGTACCACCAGCATATGTATGTGTATCGATATGTTGGCACAATACAAATATTATTTTAACAATTGAATTGCATCCTGATATCGAGTATTGATGTCAGAAAGTTGCAGCGCTAGCGAGCGGCTGGGCAAATTCGTTGCAACCCAAATCGTGTAGCAAAGGTGAGGTTTTTTCTTAGTTTTCATTGCAATTTTTTTTAGTAGCAACAGTTAAACGGAGGACGTGAACAAAAACAATAACAAAATTCTATAAATAAAGAAAAGTAAGTCAGAATAACAACAAATAGCGGCAAATATGCGGCACTTACTCACCAGCTCCTCCGTACAAAGACGCTGGTGGCTGGAAGTGAATATTTAGCTTTGAGTTTGTTTGATGTTGTTTTTGTTTGCGATATTAGCGCAGAGTTAACAAACGCAACAAGTTAATAAGATTGCGTATACACCCCACCGGCCTGCAACGGAAGGGATTTGCGGCTTATTCGCAGCCAGCTTACTCAGCTTACAAGCTAAACAAGAGCAAGCAAGCACTGGCCACAGTTACCGGAATCCCCGTCGCACACTCACACTCGCCCATACATACATACATATGTATGTATGTATGTAGGTAGTACACTGGCCCACAATCTTCTCACTGCAATTCATTTCAATAGCTGGCAGCAAGTGGAATCCGCAAATGCGTTCGTTTTAACGCCATTGAAGAGGTACGTACAACAACCACAACAGCAACGACATTAAGCCAAATGTACAACCGATGCGCCAATAATCGATTGCATCTGCCCTTTTGCTGCTTTCACGGTTATTGCTTCCTTGTTGTAGTTTTAGTAGCTTTCTGTTCGTTTTGCCTGTTTTAGCAGCGCACTGCGACTGCGCAATCCACCCGCTGATCTGATTTTTATTTATTATGGTCAGTGGCTGGCTGGGGCGGCCTCTCGAAATATTTTTGTTGCTTTTTGTAACACCAACTGTGCGAAGGCAGCACAGTGATGCTAAAAACTCTCCGAATCCTATCCTCAAGCAAATAAGTACTGATTCCGGCTGACGGCAGCTTCTTCTTATTCTCAACCTTACAATGGGTGGAAAGGTAAACTTGGCTGATAACAGCGATCTTACATAGACCTGGCACCGGTCTCTAGTTTTCCAAAATCATTCATTGAGGCGCTTCTAGAACTTAGTCAAAATAAAATGCACTAAAGTATCCTTCAATGAACAGAAACAAGACAGTCTACTTAATACTGGATAGTGATAGAGTTGGTCTCAAATAGAGATGCACACGTGTCTCACACATACGCGAGAATTTGACAAATTTTCAATCATAGACTGTAAGGTAGCATCGCGTAAAGTCTCTCACTAATACCATTGGAAGTTTATGAAAACACATAGTTGGTATTTGTTGAATTGCATGAGAATAGCTTAATTTCGCCAATAACTACTACTCATATTGAATGTTAAATTTTTTCATGATTTCGTTGGTTTTCATGTCATGGCTGTGTTTAGCTCTGCTATGAGATAACTTGAGGGAGGGTCGAGATTTCTCCCATTTTCCGATAGCTGTGTTGCTCTGGATTTAGGCAAAGCTCAAGCTATTCCGTTTCCCTTCATCTCCCTTCGCCGTTTATTGCAACTCGCCGCTTTTCCTTCAGGAATGATAGCTCAGTCGCTACTTCAGCTGATGTTGCTTTCAATTCGGACGGGTCGATGTTGGCAGCTTGTGACGCCATGTTATTTTGACGGCGCGTGTCTTGCCTGTTGTTTAATATTCAGCCACTGTTACCTAATAGCGATCCAAGTGATAAAATTTTATTTTCGAAATGAGTATTCGTTGGTTCAAATGTTGTGAAAGTCATTTTACGCCAGTCACGGTGGTCCTTTTAAGTCCACTTTCCAACATATACGAAAATACTGCTACGGTAAATAATAAATCAACGCACATATCTCAAGGGAACGTCAGATAAGCCGAGAACATCGCCGGTGCTCGTGAAGTTGGCAGGCAATTTCTAGGATTTCTGGTTAGCGATGTTAGTTGAACCTGCTAAACTTTTCCTTGTGGAATTCGTTAAAATCTTAGTTCTATGCCAATATGGTAGAACAAAACCCAAATTCAGCCGAATCCATGCGGCAGAGTTATTGAAGATCTATACTACCAAGTGAACTCTAGACTTTTGTTAACACGTAGATCCCATAAGATAGATCGTGTCAGCTGACATGTTCTGCGTTTTTCGTCCGTGGCTAACTGCGCTTTAAGTTATGCACCCCGCGGATTCTTCCCTTACAAATTGTACGCGCATGAAACATTTTTAACAGATAATTGCTGGCATGCGTAAATTTTAGGTTGGCCTGAAACAAAGAGCATAAGGACCGCGCTATATTGGTTGCCTTCATGCATCATCGGAAGACTTCTCATTGCAGTCCGGATTGCAATATTTTGACAGGTTCGTAGGATCGTTGATTGCGACCTACTAATCTACGGTAACCAAAAAGGCGTTGGCTCATTCAGAAACGGCCGGTAAAGTGTCAAAGACGTTGAAAACTTTCTCTTATTCGATTCCCCACCTTCGATCTTACTCGATGCCTGTCTACCAGGGAAAATGTCGTTTCAAGTTATCCATCATCCAGTTCGGTAATATACATATTAAATTATACCTACTTTTTACCACAAAAATGTGTTTTGTGCTCACCCTAATACTATATTCCTTTTTCAACAGCTTATTCAATTGGGCATGAGAATTGATATATTTTTTAGTTCTCTTTAATTTCTTCGATACTGATCAGCTGTGGATTTGTTTGTTTTGCATGCAGTGAGAATTCCAAGTCTCATCGTCGATTGCTGGCAATTATAGACGCGTGTGCAGTATGAAATTAATGTGATATTGCTGTGGAAAAACTAACCCAGTGGAAAGTGTTTCTAGGTTAAGTTAGAGTGGAACGCGGGGTTTAAGTTAGGTTGTTAACACATAGCGCTAATAGCCTAATGTGATGCCATTGGAGAAAATGTAGACACTTTTTTTGCCTAAAATTAAACCACTGCGCGCAACTTAAGATACGTAAAGTTTTAGGAAAATACACCATATACTAATTTGATAAACATTCGCAGAAATATTTTTCAAAGGTGCCAAACGAAAGTGTTTTAAAACAACTTTACTTAGAAAATGTTTTTAAATTAGGGTTGCCACCTATTCGAAACGAACTATATACAAATGAATGTATGCATCCATATATATACATATATAATACGAGGAGGCATTTTTTGTGAAGGTCATCAGATGTAAAACTTAAACGTACTGGGTTGTACCTTATTTAAAACCTATAAAGTCATTCTTTATATAAAGGAAATAAACAGACCGCTTAAAGTTAACTGCTTCACTTTTAATTTTCAAATAATATTTTACAACACTAGCTACATATATTCGTTCTACATATAAAAAAAGACCACAGAATCCCATGCACCAAAGCCGCTTAAAAGAACAAACGAACCAAAAGCTGCACACACATGAAAGAACTTTGAACCCAAAACAAAATTATGTATGGCTCAATTTAGCGCAGCAACTCCTTGTTTCCGATACCAGCAGTTAAAACAAGAACAAAATCAATGGCACTTCGAATGAGCGGCGCATGCGCAACGTTATGCCAAACCAGGTTTTCAATTTGTTCGCGAAATGATTTATAAACCGTTGCGCCAATAAAGAAATCAATAAGCAATACAAATAAAGGCGAAGCAAACAAATCAAAGAAGAATTTGTAAAAAAATAAGAGATAAATAAAAATAATAAAAACAAAAAAAAAAATACGTACCACAGTGCCACGGCTACTGACCTCTGATTTTTTGTATTTTTTTTTATTTTTTGATTCAAGCCTTTTCTACCTTTTTTTGAACAATATTCCCTCCCCTCTCTTACCTCTCTTGCAGTCCGATATTGTGCATCAGTCCGTTTACGAACTGGTCCATTCCGAGGATCGTGAAGAGCTGCAACGGCAGCTA